GGTGCTTGAAGTCATAGCCCTCTTTCTCTAAAATGTGCTTAAAGATGCTGTTGTGATGGAGAAGGGGCATGTGCACATTGGCCTGTGCTTTCCTACATTCATACCCAACAGTAGGGTATCCAGCAACTTCCTGAAGTTTGGTTTGTAGTTAGACCTAAGGAGGAAAATCTACATCTGTTAATAACTCCCACTGTCGCTGACCTTGAACAAGTCATCGCAAATGTTTGCTCTTCAGTTTCCCCATCTGTAGTATGGGGATAATAATACTTTCATCAAAGGAGCATTGTGTGATGTGATTAATTAGTGTTTTGAGATCTTCAGCTGAAAAGACCCTTTTGAAGTGCAAATTACTGTTATCTCTGAGGTGGTTGATGATATTAAATAGTTGTACAACATCACACATGCGTCACTTCCAGGCAGTAAAGAAAGAAAAAGCTCTAATATAATCCTTCTAAATGACTTTATTTTAATTAAAATTCTTAAAGAGTGAGTCCCACAATATCAGGCAATGTTTTGGCGGCAGAGAGCATCCTTTTCATACCGCCTGGATGTGACAGATGTGCGACGTCATTGTCGCTTTCCCTTGAAAATCAACTGTTTGCGGAGCCAGCATGAAAGACCTGCTACCTGAGCAGCCTGAACTCTGGTAATTACTAAGGTTTATTATTTTCAGTGAAGTGCAACCTAAATATTCTGATGAGAATAGCTGTAGAAACAACAGGCCTCCCAGAAAGAAAGAAATTCTCCTAAGGATTAAAAATAACCAACGGTAAAGTATTATTAAACGTCGCATTTGATCATGCACAGGAACATTTGTGCTTGGCCTCTTAGCTAGCAGGTCACTTCAGGTTCTCCTGCTCGGAACCTGTGGGTGGAGGGAGGACACATGTATTTTTTATTGACCTTCCCCGGCAGCGAGGCCCTCTGCCCGGTGCTGCAGGGGAGCCTGTTGCCTCCAGGAACACCTCAGCACCACGTGGTGCCGCGTTGAGAGTGCGGAGACCAGCGTGTCTTCTAGGCAAATTAAAAGGTCCTTTGCATTCCCAGGCCTGAGGCCCATTACAGCCGTGTGCACTAAAGGTGCAAAGGGGTGTTGAGCTGAATCCAGAAGCATCAGGTCCTTTTGTCATCAGCCTCTTCTTGATGATGTCTCAAGAGTTCCTGAAAGAGAGTGGTGCAAAAGTCGCCCATTCACTTCACTTCAGGCTTTCAGCCTGTTGGACACTGAATCAGGTTTACACTCATTTGACCCTTTACTTCCACAAAAAAACCATACTCCACTTGGAGTTCAAGAGCTTTCATTGCTAATACTCTGTGGTTTCTCTCTGCTGGATCTGGTACCTTCTGTAGCGATTCCAAATGCTGGAAGAAATTGTAACATAAAGTCAATTATAATTGAGCAATTTTATCTATTTACAACTTTTGTTGTAGGAATGGAGGTGGCCGCAGCGGAACATTTTGTGCAATCAGTATTGTTTGTGAAATGCTTCAGCATCAGAGGGCTGTTGATGTATTCCATGCTGTGAAGACACTGAGGAATAATAAGCCTAACATGGTGGACCTTCTGGTATGAGCATTTTAACTGCATCACTAAATAGAAAATGTTCCTTTTTTTCTCAGAAGACGCAGTAAGATTTCCAAGATTTGCAGTGGGAGTTGTTCACAAAGCAAGCAAATGATTTTCAAAGGGGATAATGAAGTCACTTCACTTTTAAGAGTATTTTTACACTGCTTTCTTCCCAAGGAGACTTTGTCTCTGTTCATTTGAATTTTTTAAGAGTTTTAAACTTTCAGCCGAACATCCTTATTAATTTTCTTTTCTAGCAGGCTGAGCCAAGTGGAGAGCAGCCCTTGCATGGAAGAAATAATAGTTATGTAAAATGAAATGCCAGATTTTCAAATTATATATTTTATAAATAGCTTAATCGCCTAATATTTATCAAAGCCATGAATTTCAGTTTGACATCCAGAATATTGCATTTAATTATGGTTGCTCTATCTCACAGAAAGATTAAAGGAGTTCAGAAACAAGGGGCCATGTGCAATTATTTTCTTAGAGAGTGTTTTATGGGGTTTTTTGAGAATTGCTCAAGTGCCAGCTGCTGTGCCACGGGAGCCAAAGCAAGGCTCAAAGCAGCGGGTTCCGCACTCCAGCGCACAGTTGTGCATACGGGTGGACCCGAGGATCTTGAGGGTCTTTTCCTACCACAGTGATTCTGTGATTTGGAGCTGGGTGCAGCGTTGCTGCCCTGTCCTGAAGCTTGAGCCCTAAAGACACCGTTTTACAGCATCCTGTCACGGAGGTGGCTGCTCGAGAGGCAGCCGCGTTCGCGAGAGCATCTCGCCAGCCTCGGGGATGCTGCCCCTTTGAGCTAACTTTGCAAGCTCTGGTTTAACAAGTTTGGGTCTCTGAGCAGCTTTTTTGGTTTCTCCTCTTCCGGTTTATATATTCTCAAGAGGGGAATCATCATGCCGAGAACCATACATTTTTATTTCCTGGATATTAAGGGAAAAGTCCTACTTCTTCACTAAGGTAGCATAGCTTTGGATAGAGACATGGCAGTCCTGCTGTTCTCTGTTCTCCCAGAGCCTGAGTCCACAGAACACACTGATCTTTCATTCAGCTATTTTATAGGAATAAAAAGAAAATTGCCTCTGTGAAGAGGTGCAGTTGAAGAAAGTGCTCCCCATAAATTCCAGTTTGTGACAATTCTCCCACTGCAACTTTTGTCAAGCAATGATGTTCTTCCTTTTTAAACAGTTTTTTTTGTTGTTGTTTTTTGCTTAAATGCTAAATGTAGCATTTTAGCATACAAAAATACCTTTCAGTAAAGTGAGGAAGGTACTGAAAATGCCTACCTGGTACAGCCTTTTCTTTAGGAGGTTTCAAAGCACTTACCAGGGCTCTGAGTATTGTTTCCTTATTTTACAGCTAGGGAAACTAAAGCAGTGGTAGATCAGAAATCTTCCCATTAGCTCAGAGTTCCCTGGCAGAGCAGAGGTGGAACCTTGTGCCCCCACTCTTGATCTGTTACTTTATACGAACAAATATTTGAACCAGCTAGCGAGGGTTCACAGGGATTTCTGTGCAGATTGCATCATGGTAAAAGGGAGTCAAGATACTTTAGCTGTCTTCCCAGTCCTGTTACTGACTTTTTTCTTTATGGCCTTTATTATATCAATGTGTCTTTGCCTCAGTTTCCACATTTGAAAAATTAGAACAAGAATTTTCAGCCATCTTTGTAAAATGTGGTGAGATCTATTGAGAAGTCTCAGATGCTCAGGATTGGAACTGCAATAGTATTTCCCAGGAGTAGTTCTATGATTCCTTCTTAAAAAACTGTTCCACATTTCCTTGCTAGATTAGGGCAATGTTTACAGCCCATG